GCTGCCCATCAAGATCTCGATGGATACGATGGTCCTGGTGAAGCTGGAGAAGATGAAGAGCAAGAAAGTTGGGATCCGAATCACTTGTGAAGGGATGCGTCTTCCAATCCCGAAGGGTAAAGTTCCAGGGGTCGGAACAACTTCTAATGCACAATGTACGGTTGATCTTAGATTGACAATCTGGAAATGGACCTTCTAATCTTATCCTTTGTATTATTCTTTCTTCACTTATTCACAGTATATTAACGATTGGTTTGATCCTTTCAACAAAAAAAGAATTTGTTTGGTAATGGGATATTAGAAAACAACTCAAAAATATTTGATTGAAGTTTTTGAGTTACTTGTAATTTGTAAATTTGCAATTACAATTGGATAATCTTTAGGCGATAAAGTTAGGCCATATTTTTAATTCATGGCTACATGATATGGAGTATATATGGAAATCCTTTAGGGTGTGTTTGGGAGTTCAATTTTTGAGAGGAAGGGAAGGTTAAGGGGGTTATGACGCTTTTTTCATGTTTGGGAGTTTAAAAAATCGTAGGTCATAGTTTTGTAAGGCTTTTGTAATCCTTCAAAACCCTCTGAATGCTTAATTTTAAGTTCGTCCAATTTGAAGGGTTTTGGAGAATAATTAACAAGATAGTAATTAAGTTAAATTAAAAATGAATATCAGTTCAATGATTTGAATTTGTCATATCTCAAAATAATATTAATTATAATCCCTTCAAAAATCATCTCATTCCAATTTTATTACTCTCAAATACAAAGAAGGGCTTCCTCACTCTTCCCTCCCTTTCCCCTCTAACAACATATCTCCAAAGCCCTCCCCTCTCTTTCCCTCTAAACTCTCAAACATACCCTTAGGGTGTGTTTGGGAGTTGGGCTTTGGAGGGAAGGGGAAGGTTGATGGAGTTTATAAGCCTCCTTTTCATATTTGGGAGTTTATAAAATTGGAGGGAATGGTTTTGGAGGGCTTTCATGACCCTCCAAAACCCGCTGAATGCTCAATTTTTTAGTTTCTCTAATTTGGAGGGTTTTGAAGGATAATTAATGAAATAGTAATTTAAGCTCAATTAAAAATAAATATCAGTTCAATTATTTAAATTCGTCATATCTCAAAGTAATTTTAATTATAATTGATTCAAAAACTATATTCTTCCAAAATTATTAGTCCCAAATACAAAGAAGGGCTTCTTCACCCTCCCCTCCCTTTTCACTCCAACAACATAACTCCATGGCTCCCAAGTTTTTCCCTCCCCTTCCACCCGCACTCCCAAACATACCCTCAGAGATAGACAATTTTTTACCATTCAATAAATATTTGACTTTCGGGCACCCAAGAGTGTATTTATAAAATGTACGTAATACTAAACAAGTTTTCATAAACTTACCAGCTAGGCGCTAGCAGTCATTTTGTTTTGTCCATTATATTGTCCAAACCATAAGACTAATTGATAGGCTATCGCACAACTAGTTGTGAAGAAGAGCTGTATTAGATGGTCCACTTTTATCAGTTAATTTGTAGCCATGCATGCTTTGAAGCCAGAGTCCATTCACAAATCTTAATGGAGTTTTTCTTTTGCTTGGCTATTAGATGATCCATTTTGTTCTACTGAGTCTCGAAACAAGCAAATTAATTTCAAGTTACTATACTTGTTATAAACTAAGTCTCGAAACAAGCAAATTAATTTCAAATTTATTGTTTTATTAAAAATTTGCTATAGATATGACTTACGGAGTATTAGTATATCATTTGAAGTATCCTTCTTATATAACTTCAAAAAAAACTATCAATTTGATCCTTTCATTATCACGAAAACGTCAATTAAGTATTCATATCAAATCATCGAACTTTGAAAGAACATTTAGTTGAGTCCATTAGCAGGATACCCGTCATGTCAGCAGGTCTGTTGACTACTTAGTTTTGTTGATGACTAACATAAAATGGAACAAAAGAAACAACTATTCTTTGGTCTCAATAGTTTATTATTGAACTAACCATGCAGGTGGACCTTTGGATAGAACCACTGCATGTTCCATAAGAAACATACTTAGTTCTGTTTTGTGAGAATGATTGAATTAATATGTTATTGCATGATAATGCCATATCTACGTACTTAGATATATTACACATGGAAATGGCACAATTCAAATATCTTTTCATAAATGATTGGACACCACTTAAGTAAGTTAACCTTAATTGTGCTTCATACTTTATAGAAAGTAAAAGTGGCTTGCTAAAATAAGGTCGTTGCATGATTTGAGTAAAGTACTAACGAAAGCTTCTTTACATGATTCAAATAAATTCAAACTAGTATTTGGTGCCATGTTCCAGTTGTTCTTACTATGGAAAGTATTCTTGTTATCTTTATATTGATGGTCCTCTTTCTAAATACATTAAAAGGAATATTTTTGGTAGCATATGATTTGATTGCATCTCCTACTACAAGAATTTATTTGCATCCATGATTGAATATCTTAAATATTTTTGAATAGAATATTGCTTACCTAGTGTGAACCGGTGCTTTTTGCTATAATAGGTAGAGATATTCTTTCCTTGCCATATTACCTTGAGACCGTTGCATGCATTAGATATTCTCTCATTTGACATATTCTTATGTGCTACTAAAATATCTTATGTCTATCAATATAATTGACATATGCCGTTAGCTCAAACTATGAGACATATTATACAACGAAATTAATTCAAAATATCAAGGAAAGTCCAAATATTCAACCAAGGAAAGGAGAGGCTACGGATGCTGTATATATTGGACTGAAGACCAGACGAATAGGCGTGCTTGAGAGAGTAATCAAAAGGAGAAAGAGTTGCAAAGGGTTATCAAGTTCAAGGCACATGAACCTACACACGAAGTTCTAGATAGAGTTTCTTTTCCTTTCTTTATCTTGTAATTTGGTTTCGAGGAATAGCTAAGATCAGTAGCTTCCTTGGTTTGGAATCGTGTGTGTGTGAGCTTTGTTGTAAAGTTGAGAGGCTCTCTACCCGCAAGGTAGAGATGCATAACTCTTCCTAGAGAGGATAGAGTTGGGGTGGCTCAAGGGTAGATTAAGAGAATTTACCTTGTAACCACTTTTTGGCTATTTAGTGAAGTTGTTCAAATTCCTCCAAGGGAGGTCGAGGTTTTTTAATCCTTATGAGCCAAGGAATTTTTCCTCGTTAAATTCTTGTGTTTTTATTATTTCGCATTTCTCTTCACCCACACTAGAACTGTGCGAGAAACTACCACAGTTCCACAGAAACACAATTGACCTCCCTCTTGTGTTACTAACCATTTCATCAATCGGTATCAGAGCGGGTCTTCAACACATAAAGGGTAAAACCTTGGGAAGAGATCCGGTAATATGAATACGGTTGAACGATTGGAAGAAGGGTTATCGACTCAACGTCCACCGATGTTCAATGGGAAATTCTATCAATTCTGGAAGAGTCGAATGGAGAACTTCATCAAAGCTGAGAAATATGAGGTATGAAATGTAATTGAGGTTGACGACTATGTCATCACTAAGACAGATAACGAAGGTAAAATCATTCCTAAACCAAAGTCTGAATTTACTATTGATGATTATCGTAAACTCGAGTATAATGTCAAAGCATTAAAATATTTAATTTGTGGACTTGGTCCGGCTGAACACAATCGGGTTCTAGGATGCAAATCCGCAAAACAAATGTGAGATTTACTCGAAGTTACGCATGAAGGTACCTCATGTGTAAAAAGATCCAAGATTGACATATTTATGCGTAATTACGAATTATTCGTGATGAAGCCTAAGGAGTCAACTAGGGATATGATTACACGTTTTACTAATATTATAAACGAGCTTTCAGCACTTGGAAAAGATATTTCTGTGGAGGATCAAGTAAGAAAAGTTATGAGAAGTTTACCCTCTACATGGAAGCCAAAAACAACGGCAATTGAGGAAGTCAAAGATCTGACCATTATGACACTCGAACACGTGACCGGCTCACTCATATTTCATCTGAGTATAGTCTTAAATATAAATATTTCAATTTTTAGGCGTTTATCTAGGTCGACCTAGTGTTTTAAGGATTGTATTGAACCATGAAGTATTGAAGTATAATTTGATCATAATTCCAATCAAATAGGAGGCCATTTCGCAAGGGGGGCATTTGACTTTCTTTAACTATCGTTGAATTAGTCGGCTAAAGGAGACTTGTATTTGACCGGAATACGAATTGAATTAGAGTCTTAATTATTACGAAGTAATAATTCTACCGAAATTTGAAATTTGAAATTTGATTGGCTGTAGAGATATTCCGTATTACGTTACGACCAAATGATTAATTAATGATCATATATGTGTTTCAAAATTCAAATGGATACTTTTGACACGTGAATGTCATGTACAATATATTGTTATATTCTAATGTCCTTTTAATCTTTTAATTAAATTTGCTCAAAGTTAAATTTACGGTCAAATATGTATACCGTGTAGGCGAGTATAACAATACGTTTAATCATTTTGTTATCTCACCATCGTTGAAGAGGTGTAAAAAACCACCCTTCAAGAATTGAATTATATTAATAATACTATCATAAGAATCAAATCATCTTCCCCACGACATCGGTAATTTCATTATCATTTCTTTCATTTTCCTCTCTCTGAGTTTATAGTTTATACTGTTTATTATGCTCCATATTTCAGAAAAATGGAACTTTTTTTGGTATCGTTAAAAGAGTAGTTATTTATTTACACAAATATCAAATATGTACAGATGTCAAAATGGAATTTTATGTCAAAATATCTGTATGCACAGATGTTTTGACATAAAATTCTGTCATTTTTCAAGCGAAAAATTTTCTACAATTAGGGGATTGTGTACATATTGTACTAATTATGTGTACATCTACCATTTTCGTTGTTTTTTTTAATAAGCAAACTGTTCTTGTAGAAATGTTACCCTTCGTAATTATTTTCTTGAAAGAATACTTTATCCAATGCTTGATCCACAAATGACAAAAATGGAAGAAATGCAATATTATTGAGAGGAAAATGTTTCCTTGTTTTCAAAATGAGGATAACAATTTCTCACAAAAGATTAAAGAAGGGCATACATAACTTACTAAAAGCTAATGAGTATATATGAGATTGCAAACATCAAAATCTTACTTATCAATTAGAGTAAAGACAATTGTGTGTCCTGCCTACTTAAATCTTGAGTGTGACTAGAAACTTGACTTGAATTCAACCAGGAAAACCCTTCCCCGGGTTGCGCCTGCTGGTCAAAGGCCGCTGCCGTCGCCAGTTTCATGTCTTCGTATTTGGACCGATAAAACGCGAGTTCCTGGTTCACAACTTCCAATTCCGAAATGACACATTGCAACTGGCTGTACAGAGTCCGGATCGTATTGCGGCAGCCGCCAACGGGATCGGCGGCACGGGCATTGGCTTGATAGATTACGGACAGCATGAAATCATCCCTGTATTCTTCATCGATGCTGGCCAGAGATTTCGTGAGGTTCTTTATGCCGAACAGTTTGTGGGCATTGATGAAATCTCGCCGTTTGCTCGCCGGAAAGTAAGGAGCTAAGGGGCAGTTTGGGCCGCATTTTCTCCGCTGGTGGCTACACGCGGCGCAGACTTTTGATCCTTTGGATCTGGGTCCGGAAGAACTGGGTTCTTGGTCCCGGGTTGAGGGGTGATGCTTTTGATCCGTTGGATCGCTTCCCATTTTTTCCGAGACAACAGTAAAGTGTCGGCTTGATTTTGCGAAGCTTGTGGAATTTGCGGTACTTTCTCGGCGTTTCTTGGAAGATGACGACTTGGGAGAAAACCAGAAAATCAACGGAAAATGAGAAACGTGTGGGGGCGAATCTCCGTACAGGAGAGAATGTGCAGTATTTATCCAAAATCACACTTGAGAGAGTGGGGGATGGTTTTTATTTTCTCCACGCTCCCATTTCAAAAATAAATTGATTCGACTGTCTATGTTTGGACTTTAAATGCAAAAATGAAAAAACCCTCTTATTTCATTTAGAAAAAAACGATGTCTACATTTCTGAGGAAAAATAACTTTAAAAGATACGGAGTATCAACTATCTTCCAGGAACCTATAATAATACGAATTTTAGAAAATAAATTTTTGTAATACAACTATTTGAACATATATCAAAAGTGATATCTATTTTAATAATGCAAAAAATTGTCTGTGTCAAGGACAAAAAAATTGCTTGCATTACAAATAATTTTTTTGGCTAAAGGGTCAAATAGACCCTTGAACTAACTTAAAGTTTTCAATTAGCCCCTTATATAGGAGGTTCAGTCCGGCCATCGCCAATTGGGGAGGTTCTCGGTTGAATTTTTTGATGAATTTTTTTGAACATCTTCTTCATTAAGTCTAGTTTACCCCATATCAAATTTCAACTAAAAATTAAACCGGAAAGGCAGTCAAATGATTTTTCGAAATGTACTGCGCTGTTTAACTGCGCAGTTATCTTCAAAAAAAATATTTGACTGCCTTTCCCGGTTTACTTTTTAGCTGAAATTTGGTATGGGTAAACTAGACTTAATGAAGAAGATACTCAAAAAATTTCATCAGAAAATTCCACCGGGAACCACCCCAATTAGCGAAAGCCGGGCAGAACCTCCTATATAAGAGGCTAATTGAACACTTTAAGTTAGTTCAAGAACCTATTTGACCCTTTAGCCTTTTTTCGGTGCAAAAACGAGTTTTTTCATAAAATGTCGGCCAAATTGTCTACTCAGTGACACTTCCAGTGACGTGTACAAATGAATTGTACACGAAGCATGGTTGATAAAGTGATTTGAGTGTGTATGTTTGGATTTGGAGAACAAAAAAGCCTCTTATTTCTAGGAGTGATTTCAATGATAATTAACTTGTGATCCGATAATATAGGAGGATCTCACACTTTTGAACATTGTTCCAGTTTAAATCCTTTAACATAGAAATAGTGTATTTAAATAGTGTATTCAATTCTTCTGCGAAAAAAGTTGTGTTTTCAATTTTATAAAAATTATGTTTCAATTTTGTGAAAAAGTAGTGTTTTCAATTATGGTGTTCATTAAGTTCAAACTTACATGTGGTTGGTAAAACTAAAGTTCAAAAGTAAAAATGCTGAAAAAATTGGGCAAACATAGATTTTGTTAGGGGCGGACCCGGTCCACCGCTCCTGATCGAACTAGAACCGGGCCCATAACAGTTTGAGATCAGCACGGGACCGGTTTTCCGGTTCTGGTCAAGGATTGCCCTGCTTCTATTATGTTACTCTCTCTTATGTGTGACTATTTGAGACCGGGATATCTGATTTTAAAACAATTGATTATGTTGCAGTGTCAATAATTTTATTGTTTACTACTCCTTCCGGTTTTTAATAAACTTCACACTTTCCTTTTTGAGACGGTCTAAAATAAACTTCACACTTCCTTATTTCCTTTTTTGGCAAAGAAATCTACATCAAAACAGTGCCCAACAATGACAAACAGTGTCAAACAGTGTCTCAACAGTACCAAACAGTGTCTCAACAGTGCCAAACAGTGTCAAACAGTGTCTCAACAGTGTACTCTGCAGTAAAGTCAAATTTCTTTCCTTATTTTATGTGAAGTCAAAGAGTGAAGTTTAATAAAAACCGGAGGGAGTAATTGACAGTGCCTAGGGCCCTAGAGTGTTCCGTGCAACTTGAAAAATGACTAGAATCCAGGGGGTGAGTGTTTCGTTGATACTTGATACGCAACATACGAAACTGGCTACCATTTCTATTGTTTATAGTGACACACATTGTATATTATGTACATAATTATGTATAATGAAGTAATGAACTGGCCGACTACTTGACTTAATGACTTGTGGAGGTTTGAAGGCTGAACTTTTTCTTTATGATAAAGTTCTTAATCACCTTTTTCAATAAAAAAATGCATAGAGACTCCACAAGTACTTAGACCATGGCCTCGATCACTCGCAATCTTCCAATTTGCAATTAAAAAGTCCAATTTACATTCTCACAGTTAACTGTCCCGTCAGTGTTGAGGATCATCAGAAATGGGGTGTCATCCTTCTTTTAATACAAGACTTATATTTCAATATTTCTTCACTTTAATTTTTAGTAGCCTTGATGAGCTCCCATTTTCCAATTTTCTTAGATTATTATAAATATATTCTCTTTTACTAGATACTGAAAAGAACTTTTCCAAATTGTTTGCACACTTTGCAACTTCACGTGCTTATACATGTTGTGATTATATGCCCCTTATAAAGGGTCTCTACTTATAGTCTCCCTGGACAAACACACCGTGCTCGGACTGCACTTGTGCGGCAAGATTAGAAGATTGCTCCGATGATTGCCAGAAGGTTGAGTTAACTCGCCATTGCCAAAGGTAAGATCAACCTACTCAGCAACTAAATAAAGTGAATGTAGTTTGGACAATTCTCTATGATCAGCTAATGGAAACACAATTTTTCATGAAATATCACATCACGAGATTGGAAATAATCTCCGATTTCAAGGGCATATAGATGTCATCCCTTTTTGCCAAAGGGATATCCCAAAAATATGCAACGACGACTCCGAATGTCAAACTTATCATTAGGATTCAAATTCTTGGCATAACATAGAAAACCAAACACACGAATATGACTCAAATGAGGAGCACATCCAAAAAGTAATTTAAAAGGTGTTTTTCCTTGAACTCGGGATGATGTATGATTAATTAAATAGGCTGCTGTTAAAACACATTCACCCCAAAAATCCACAGGATGATTACCTTGAAAACGTAAGGCTCGAGCAACATTTAGGATATGGTGATGCTTACGTTCTACCGTTGCATTTTGTTGAGGGGTCCTGACCATAGATGTTTGACGATTTATCCCATTCTCCCTGAAATAACTACTCAGCCTTTTAAACTTCGTACCATTATCTCTACGCAATATCTTGACCTTACGGTCAAAATGACGCTCAAGTAAAGCAAAATAATTCAACATTAGAGAAGGGACTTCATTTTTAGTTTTCATCAAATAAACTCAAACACTTCAAGAAAAATCACCGAAAATGGTCAAAAAATATTGCGAATTACAAGAACGATTGGGTTTATATGGGCCCCACACATTAACATGAAAAACATTCCTAGTCTGTTTAGCTCGATAATAAACATCACAAGATTGATTGCCTGAAAGTTATTTATTCTTGCTAACTTGAGGAAGAAAATCTAATACTTACATCGAAGGGTGCCCAAGATGGTTGTGCCACAACTCAGGTGAAACCAAAAATGATGCGACATTAATTCGAGTCAGTTCCCCCCTCATCAAGTAATAAAGACCACCAATCTGCTCACCCACACCAGTCTGCATCTTCGAGGTAAGGTCCTATGACGAGCACTTTGTCACGGTGCATCAAAATAATTTTCAATGCTAACACTTATACGTAGTATAACGTAGTAGAGTTCGTATCCACAGGGAAAGGGATAATTCTCTTTTTATGAAACTTAGTAAATAAAAGGGGGGGTTTGGATTGAGTGATTTAATTTAATTAAGAACTAAGATGAACAACCTATATGTGTTTAATTCAAAGATAAAAAGGACTTGGCATTGCTACTTTCCACTTGTTGATATATTTTAGTCGATCATTGTTATATCTATAACTTATTCCCTCTCGAATACTCAATCGGGGAGTATATCCACTTCATCGAGGGTAGTTATTAACAACAACCATTCATGAATAACCCTTACTATTAATCAAATATAGAACAACGCCTTATACCGATTTAATAGTAGCATTTAATCTTTCTAACTCCTTTATGAAATCAATTGAAATTGATAACCTCAACACAACGGTTTCGGTTTAACCAACAAAATTAATCCCTCTTAAGTTTATTAATCACGACCGTGCATTAATAAACCGAAGTTACTTACTTGTGAAACCATCAACGATTAACCATCGGTTCATTGATCGTTTCTAGTAATAATTAATATATGGAACAAAACTAGTTGATCCTTTAAGTAATGCTCAAAATATTAATATGAAATATGAGTAGGAATTAATTAATATTCAAGGAAGAATATTATTAAAGAAGATGAATCCTACTATAATTAATATCAAGATGTTAACTAATTGTCATCTTAGCAACACTCCCCAACATTAATATAGAGGAAGAAAATATCATTCTAATTAATGTCGAGATATTAACTAATTGTCATCTTAGCAACACTCCCCAACATTAATATAGAGATGGTATTAAGGAAAGAACTATTAATTAATATTCAAGGGAAGAAGTTAAGAAAATAAATGACAACTTTAATAATCAACAAGCTTCAAGAGCAACACCAAGAATGGAAGTTTAGCTCCTCATTTGGAGACTAAACTTAGCTAGAAAAATACAAAGAAATGCTATTCTAAACTGAGCTTAAGAGTATGGAAGAAGGGATGGATTTTTAGAGAAGAAAAAGAGTGTTATTTATAGGTATTTTTCAACACCTTTGGCCGGGTACCCGACCGGGTCAAGTACTCACCCGACCGGGTTCGGTCAAAATCACATAGTTCACCACATTCTGGTGATCTTCGCACACCGGGTTGTCCCCGGTCACTTCTCACCCGACCGGGTGAGGTATGGGGCCCGACCGGGTCCAGCTTTTTCCTCAGTGGTTCGGTTTTCCAATCAGACCCGACCGGGTGAAGTTTCCTACCCGATCGGGTATTTGCTCCTGGACAGTTGACGAGCACTTTGTCACGGTGGGTCAAAATAAATTCAATACTAAACACCTATACGTAGTATAGCGTAGTAGAGTTCGTATCCACAGGGAAAGGAATAATTCTCTTTTTATGAAACTTAGTAAATAAAGGGGGGATTTGGATTGAGTGATTTAATTTAATTAAAAACTAAGATGAACGACCTATATGAGATTTAAGTCAAAGATAAAAAGGACTTGGCATTGCTACTTTCCACTTGTTGATATATTTTAGTCGATCATTGTTATATCTATAACTTATTCCCTCTCGAATACTCAATCGGGGAGTATATCC